AAAATATATATTTTTGAAAGCATTCTTACTTTATAGCATTTTTTCACACCTGCCTAAAACTTTTGCACAGTACTATATGTAATACACAGAATTCTGAAACCATTCTAAAATAACATTAAAACTAAATGCTTAAAACTCAGAAAGGTAGGTTTTAAGTCCAGAATTGAAATAAGAGGCCAGCTTCAACAGTAATAGTAATATATTCTAGAATATGAGCTTCACCAGAGTAGAACCAGAATTTGCTGTGTGTTAAATGTATCTGTGGCAGGACCTACAAAACTTGCTCCATTGAAGACTTAAGATGGCCAAGGAGCAATTCTGCAGTTATTTTGGGCCTAAGCTTTGTAAGACTTCATGCACCAGAGCAAACACCTTGAATTTGGCTTGGAAGGAAATTGGCAACCCATGTAAATGTTTCAACCCAGGGGTGTTCTAGTGGTGCCACTGATACAGCTTCATTCTGGAACAGCCTCAAGGGCAGCCACACAACATGAGCATGTTGCAGTAATCCACACTTGAAGTTACTGGCACATGTATCACTGAAGCCAAGTCTCTCTCCAAGTAGGGACACAACTGTCTTATCAGCTCATGGAAACTCTCACTTGCCACTGGTGTAATGTGGTTATCCAGTATTTTATATGTTTATATGATTTAGAGTATCAGTGCAGGATCAAGGAGGACTCCCAGACTATAAACTTGTTCCTCATTCAGAATAGAGAGTATCACCTGAGTATCACATGAAACTAATGGCTTTACTCTCAGTTTGCTTCAGTCTTTATCTGAAGTGTTTAAATGAGCTGCCCTCTGCAGCTGACGTGTAATCCTGGGAAAAGGCGTGTTTGGCTTCAGATGTTTCTGACAGCTGCTACTGTACATATGTGCCCTTGTTACTATGAATCACATTTTGCCCTTTGAATCAGGATCATTCCCTACTTCATATTTTAGTTTCTGAAGCAGTAATGCTAAGCATGTATCAGGCTACAAGTTCCTTTAATTTAGGAATTATACATGAATAATCAGTTATAATTTCTGCACTTCTAGATATGGCTCGTGGACAGCAGAAAATCCAGTCACAACAGAAAAATGCCAAAAAGCAAGCTGGACAGAAAAAGAAACAAGGCCATGATCAGAAGGCTGCAGCTAAAGCTGCTTTAATATATACATGCACCGTCTGTAGGGTAAGAGGCTCTTAAAGCAAAATATTATGGCAATCTTTCTAGATTTTAAATCAGGAGTATGAAGTATAGGAATGGCAACACCCTTCTGTGTATAAGTTTGTATTGTATAAAATGGGTGAGGAAATTGTGCCTCAGAGAGCTATTTTCCCTTAGGAGTAACATTGGGGAGGCTTGTTCCAGAAGGTATGATAGCTAGAGTTCTATTCCAAATAAGAGCTATATTTTATTTGATCAATGTATATGATTAAATTGATTAAATAAATAAAATATATTAGTATGAGACTTCCAAGATTGTGTGCAATGAATATGAAATACAAGAAGCATGTTGGGTAAAATATGTAATAACATTGTATCATGCATAACTGTTATGAGTAGTCAGGATGAAGTAATGTGAGCATTTACAGAGAGTTATGCTGCTACTCCTAAATATACAGATGAATGAATATGCAGGACTTGCAAAGCAGATGTATTAATAACATTTGGGGGTGAGGGGAACCTATCAATTACTTGGGGAGTTCCCTGGTTCTAAACAAGGGCTGGATAACCTGCTCTCCAGATTTTTTGATCTAGAAATCCCACATACTCCAGGCAACATGGATGATAGTTAGGCGTTATAGAAATTATTATTCTCTAATCTGAAGAACATTGATTTATCTGTTTTCGTATACATATTTCCTGCTGTCTTGTTTTTTGTATTTCATGTACATGACAATAAAGAGGAGGAGTACTGGTAGAAACTTCAGTCTATCAAAGGCTGAGTTATTGACTTGTAGTTAATAATTATTTTTGTGGTCAGAAGATAGTAGTAAAATGTCTTCCTTGAATGTCATATTAGGATTTCAGGAAAATTAAGCAATTCTAAATAATTTATTTGTGTATCAGGAAAATTGTATATGTATTTTATTAAATTTTATAATTTCTGATGCTCAACAATAAAAAATATGCAAAATTTAATTGTTGGATTTTAAGAAGGAATGTCAGCTAAATATAAATAAAAAGGGAGGATATGGAGGCACTGTTATATGGGTGAATTTGTAAGATAATTAAAGTTGAATATGGGGAATATGTTAAAGTAGGAAAATTAATTGATGATAGGTAATGTTCCAAAACACATCTTACTGTGGACTGAGTGAAAAAAGCTAAAGGAGCTTGGCAGATCTTAAGGATACAGGAAGAAGAAACTATCCTTCATTCTGTATGAATGTTTGTGTTGCATAAAGCTCTGTTCTCTCCTTAATCAGACACAGATGCCAGATCCCAAGACCTTCAAGCAGCACTTTGAGAGCAAGCATCCCAAAACCCCCCTTCCTCCAGAATTAGCTGATGTTCAGGCATAAAATTCACTGGTAATTTTGTACCATTTACATTTTAAATTAATTGATTATAAATCCTAAGTAATTTTGCCTCATTTATATTTCATTTGTTATATTTCCGAAGGGTATGAAAATGGAGAGTTAACTTTAATATAAAGTCAACTGTGCTTGAGCTTTTGGGGGGGTAGTTGTATATACAACTTCAACTTGTATAATCAGGCTATTGTTATCACCATGCCTATTTGCAAAATCTGCAATAAATGGGTGAAAGGATACGTTTGTAATGTTCTAATTTTGATTTAGCCAGTTCTGTTACAGCAGTTTGGGTGACTAATTTTAAAATTGGATGACATTAAATCAGTTTTTCAAATCTGGCAACTTTAAGATGCTTCTTAAAGGAATTCTGAGAGTTGAAGTCCACACATCTTAAAGTTGCCAAGTTTGAAAAACACTACATTAAATTATTGCATACTATTAATATTATAATTACATAACAGTTCAATTAATGAAGTTACTCTTGTGTTGCAGGTGAATTCATGGAATCTATTGACTCTTCTATTGTCAGACATTACATAACAAATCTGCAGCTGCTTTTCTAACAAACTGTTGATCAGCAAAAAATGAAGGGGCTATAGAAACATTCATATTTTTATGCTGTTCCTCTTGGGCTTCATGTAAAGACAACTCTGTGTAATTGTACAGTGTGCCCTACTTGGAAATCCAGAAATTGGTTCATTCTAAAAATTTTTTACAGTTGTAATTATATTGATGTTCATATTGTGTAAAATAACTCATTTAATAAAATAGTACTTTGATTTTACAATATCACAGGTCAAATGCTTGTAGAAATTCTATTTCCATGTTTTATTTGCCTTATAAAACTCCAACAAGTGAACTTCTTACCCTGCCAAAAATTAAGTAGTTTAGTTAGGGTAGATTCATTGCTATTAATGAAGTCCATTAGAAGCAAGGAAATTATTTCTCCATTCAGTATGCTACTTGCTTGAGCCTGATCATTTTCTAAAAAAACCCACTGCTTTGACTGAAGACGTGTGTACTTTCAACTGTTTAGTTTTGAGTGCCTATTCTGGTGGCCATTGTGAAATTTCACTCTTTATACATAAAGGCACTTGTATTTTGGATTTATGCACTGGAGTCACCTGCAGTAGCAGTGAATCATTATACTAAATGATGGGATAGCAGAAATATACTTGAACTAAACATTGTTTTTTACATGATCTGAATGGTTCAGACTATAGCAACATGAAATAACTGGTTTCTGTTGTGAAGACCCACTGTGTAGCTTCTGAACTGTACTTGTAAGAAGTGGGCCACCTGGCAACCTTTCATATATAAAAATGACTACTGTAAATGTTTCCCTGTGAAAACAAATATTGAAAAAGCTTATTTGAAGGAATAGGATGGCATATGCAATAGAAATAATGGCTAATTAAGCATTGATTAGTTGGAACTGATTACATAGAGCAGGGTCGATGTTAAAATTTTAATACCTGGCAGTGTTGCTTTATGTTACAGATTTCCCAAATACGTTTGAGCAGGATTCTGATCTCAGGTGCAGATTCCATAGGTTCTGCCCCAGGTGCTTTTCATTTCAACTGATAATTTGTGACAGGTTACTTAGAAGCTTTGTTCTGTTGTTTTTTTATGTTACTGGTTTGACACTGACAGAAATATTGACCAAAGCTTGCTTTGTGCCTAGAACAGTCATCTTTGAAATAATTCTCTGAAATAATTCTATTAAGATAGCACACATAAGTCACATATTTGATACATAAATAAAATTATGATATATTTGTTTACCAATCTGATAGATCAGTTCAGCTAACATTTTCATTACCCTGGGGTAAACCATACCAGTTACGTAGCTTTTTTGCACTTGTACACCTGACATTAGAATAAAGCTCTTGTTTCATTTTCTTTTCTTACCTAATAAAATATCCTCATTGTAAGATGACAACCAGGTCCCATAGGCAAGAAATCTGCCTTTCAAACTGATAAGGTGTACTGAAAAATTGAAGTGGAATGCCTTTTTAAAAATAATTCAAAATGTTATGTGTACACTTGTTTTGGTGGAATTCCAGAAAGCTGCTTTCAGATAAGTTCATTCCTCAAGCTGATACATGTAATATTTTCTTTCAGACTAGTTAGCAACAAATAAAGGGGTTGGGTGGCTTGCTTATAATTGTATGGGAACAAAAAATAAGTTTCTACTAGATTAGTGCAACTGACCCACTTATGTGGCAGACTGCATTTTTCTGAATTGCTATTATAAGTAGCTTGTGTCTATGCACTGGGCAAGCTAAATCTTGGTTTTATATATTAATTAATACTGCTAAAGATAATTTGTTTCTAACCAGTTAAAGGCCACAAGAAAATCCTGACATTCAGCCTATGGAAACGAATTGGGTGGGTTGGAACCATCAGTAGTAGGAATCTTTAATTCTCTGTATTGATTAAAGGAATGGGTGTAAGGAATAAGTGTGAAAACCTTTCCAAACCTTGTGGATGGAACCCTGTTAATTCTAGATAAAAAGACACAATTGTGCATTGTAATGTGTCTGATTAAAATCTTTTAAAAAGCAAAAGTCTAAAATGTGATATTTCCTGCCTATTTAATGCAAGTGTCATTTTTTAACCTTGATGCTAACTGGGCAGCTTTAGTTCTTTGTTTAGCACAAGGAATGGAAATAACAGCAAAGGTTTCATTCGATTCACTTAAGCATGAGTAATTTGTGTTTGGACATACCAAGATAAGGTTAGAGAAAATATGCACAAGAATTTTGCTGTGATGAACACTGTGTGGCTATTAGCAAGCCATCATGCTTTTGTGTAGTTTGTTTAAACCATCATTCGTCATACTTGTAATGTGCCAAAATGCACAATACAGTAGTGCATTTCCTTCCAATGGTATTGGTCACAGCCCTACTTCAAAGGCTAATTGAATGTGGATATTCCAAAATAACATTCTTGTGAAATATTGAACATATCTCACCTTTTGGAATGCTGCCTAATCTTGGTGGCTCTGAGTATTGGCAAAGAACCTTAGTAAAACATTTGGTTTAAACACTGTAATGTTAAATACAAAATCTGTCTAATAGTTCAGACTTGATTGTTGCTGTTCTTGAAAAAAAATATCAGGCTACCTGAATTTCAAAACTGGATTATATCAAGTGAGGAAATTTTTCTTCAGTCTGATTGTATATTAAGTTGGGGCTTGTTGCTGTTGTTTTAGTAATGTGATGTACAACTCTGGCATTAAGAGGCACTGCAGAATTCTTGAGGAAGTGGGTGTGTGTGCAGCTTCTTAAAAAGTATGCATTTAATACAGTCGTTTATTGAATTTTTTTTCTTCCTAGCTAGTTTTTCCTGCATGTGCAGGGTCCGCTTTCTTTCGGATCAACTGAATGTCAATCTGTTGGTTGCGACAGGAATTGACCAACTGCCTTGTCAACTGAGCCTGAGGTTGGGGACTGAGGAGAGTGATTAACCCCAAGTCACCCATCTGGCTTTCATGCCTGAGGCGGGACTAGAACTCACAGTCTCCTGGTTTCTAGTCTGGAGCCTTAACCACTAGACCAAACTGGCTCTCATGATCATTTATTGAATGGCTAAGTTTAAACTTTGGTCTTGTCTGAGTATGAACCAGAGTAATTTTTTTCTCTAATGCATTTTTTCTCTCCCCCCCCAAAAAAGTGGGATTAAAATTAAATTATTTCATATATTTCCTAAGGTTTGCAGGCTGCTTCTGTTTTGAAACATGGATTTGATTCTAGATTTAATTTGTACCTTAAGTAAACTATAAAATCACATCCATAATTAGCAACATTGATTGTTACACCTTAAATCTGAATATATTCTTTCTCCCCCCCTCCCCCCTTGCTCATGTAATCTAGTATCTTGAATTTACAGTGCATTCGGAAAGTATTCAGACCCCCTTCACTTTTCTCAATTTTGTTATGATGTAGCCTGATACTACAATCGTTCAAATTCATTTTTTTTCTCATTAATCTACACTCTACTCCATAATGACAAAGTGAAAACAGAATTTTAGAAATGTCTGTAAATTTATTAAAAAGAAAAAACTGAGATATCACATTGGCATAAGTATTCA